TCCCACCGCCGCGCTGCTCCTGCTCCTGACAGGCGCGCTCCCAGAGTTCAGTCGGGCTCCGGCGGGGCAGCAAGTCGCGAAGAAGCCAAAGGCGGCGAGCGGAGGCGTTTGGAGCAGGTCGGTTTGGCTGTCCGGGAAACTCGAGGTGATTCTCGGCTCCCTTCTGTTCCGGAACTCCAACGCACCTTTGGCAGGGCTTTCCGTCACTGCTTTCCTTCTTCGTCCTCCCGGCTCCCCGTGTTTATCCGAAGTTGTTCTCCGAGCAACCCTTACCCGGGAGTAATCTCGCGAGGCGACTTGCCCCGGATCGCGGGTGGGCTTTCTTGTTCGTTTTGTTCCGGGCGCAGCCTTTCCCCTACCCGCTGGATAGATTCCCGTGAGACCTACGTGGAACAGATCGGCCCGAGCGAGCCTCGCAGATGTTCTTGCCACGAGTTTTCCTCCCCCCCCCCACATCGTTCCTTCCTTGACTGCCGGGTTCTCCCTTCTGGGTACTGACACCCCAAAAAGCCCTTTAGTTTTCAGCATAAGAAATCATAACGAATTCAGTTTTAGGAAGAAAAAAAAGGATTGGGCATAGCGTTCAACATCCCTTTACTGAACTTTAATGATGATGATGATGATGATGATGATGATGCAAGAAATACTGTTTTCCCGATAGTTTTGGTAATCTTCCTGGCTGGAGTCCTATACTGTATTCCAGACTTTAGGTGTGTTAATAATTGTGTTTTGTTTTAATAGCGTTAGTTGTTTTTGAAGTAGTATTTACAATTCAGTCAAAGGTAAGAACATTTTAAATTTCACTGATCTCAATTCGATTTCTTTTTGTACTAAATTGGTAAGAAGAAACAGTACCTAACTTTGTCTGGGTATATTATTATTATTATTATTACTACTACTACTACTACTACTACTATTCTACCATTGATTACTTCAAGTCTGCAAGATATTTTGGGAGAAAAATTGCTTTTCTTTCCTGATTATCTCAGTTAAAAGGGGATCCATCTACTGAGGGCTTTTTTCCGTTCGTTTTTTTCTTAAGAGAATCAAGGGGGGTGCTCAGGGAAAATCTGTAGGCCCGCATATTCTTCCCATTCAAAAACAAAAGAATTCCTGTTTTCAGAAGGGGTTGAGAAAAGATTAGAAACATTAAAAACAGGAGAGATTCCAAATATAGGCCTTCCGTTTTTTTGTATTGCCCCTTACAGAATGGGTGAACGTACTGTGCCATAATATTATTATTTTATCATGTCCTTTCTTATTCTGTTGTGATTATTTTAAAACACTATAGGGAAGTAATATATTACTTTAACCTGAGCAGGTAAAAACCAGCAGAGGGAAATAATGCATTTGAAGATCTGTTTCAACTATTTATTACAATCAATTATTTCTACCTGTAATAGTTACAAATAATAACATACTTATCTCTTACTTCTCTTCAAATCTGCTTTGAAAGTACATCAGTAAAATGTCTGCATATTATGTTGTAAATATTTCTGTTCTAGAAAACAGTGAACGGAAGTAATGCCTTTTTGGGTAATTCTGGTATTTTTATGCTACTTGGATTTTATTTTAAAAATAATTTATTCTTCTCTCTCTACTATTTGCTTATAACAGAGATAATGAAATTAGTAGAGTTAAGAGTTTATATTTGCATTCATTACATCTGTATTTTGAGTTAATTGAATTCCATTATCCAGTAGAAATCACTTTCAAGTCCATTGATTTTGATGGGAAGATTAATATGCACTAGCTAGGAAGTAAATAAACTGTGTGTAACTTAAAACATGCTCATCCTTGGGTGGATCGTGTCCACATTTCAGGAGTGGTGACTACTTTGTAAAAATATATGCCTCTGAAAGGTGTAAATACTGCCTAAATAGTTTTTTTTAATAGATTAGTATTTTACAAATGTTTTTCCAACTTGGCTTGAACAATTGCTTTATAGGCACCCCTGCACCACTTGCGTTTTGCTTGCTTGTTATCAAATCATTTCACTGGAATATAAAAAAAGACATATTTTCCCAAGGAACTGTGAAAAAAATATTGTAGTAAGTAATACGAATATTTATATCAAGATGCAGGGTATGGTTTTGTTTTTAAGGCACTCAGGTTAGGTGATTTTTTAATTACTTCCATTTCACTGGAAATAAATCAGAAATTGCCAGGGAAAAACTAGCTTTTTGACATTTTTTTTTTTTGGAGATTTCTTCCGACAGTTTTCTTTTATAATTTCTTTTGTTAGTTTCACATTTTGAATTCCTTCCTTCCTTCCTTCCTTCCTTCCTTCCTTCCTTCCTTCCTTCCT